GTCATGAGATCACTGGTACGCCTTCTGTATTACGCAGTAACGGAGCATGCACTGACCGACCGATCTGCACCCCACAGGCTCCTACCAGCTCGACCCGTCGCTCCCGCTCGAGAAGACTGACCGTCGCGGAGGCTGGCACAGACACGAGACGCCACCGACAGCCAACCTCCAAGCGCGCCACGGCAACATCACGACCAAGATAGCAGTGACCGGCGATGCACCGTGCGCGAATCATGCCACCATCCGCGCCACCTCAAGGACAGGCGACATCACGCTTGACATCGTGCGTTCTTCTTCCCCATACACCCAAGCTTGATCAAGGGACTGACCATGCCTATATAGACCGAGAAGTCCGCCGCCCGTAACGTAGACATCGAAACCTGGACACGCCGGGGCACAACCATCGTCCTCCTCCCACCCACCTTCGCCGGCGTCATCGAGCTCAACACTTGCCGCGGGCGTTTGATTCAACTGCCGGGCTTGGAAGAGAAGACAGCCCTCTTGCGCTCGACAGAGCAGACGCTGAGCTTTGTCGTTGGCACGGTCTGTGGAGATGGTAAGGATGCGAAGGCCGACTTCGTGCGCCTGTCGTCGAAGAAGGGCGGGATCGCGGTCGGGTTTAGTGGTGTTGATGGGGAGGCACAAGCGTTGGAGAACGTGCGGAAGGAGTTATCTGCTTGTCGGCGCCGTTGCGGTAGCTGTTGATGGGCTGACCGTGTACATTGTATGCCAATAGTCAGACCGTTTCAAAAGGAGTCTATGAAAGAGAGTTCATTCACTAGCTAGAGTGCATATCATAAGGCTAATCCTAAAGTCTCAAACGCATGACCAATATCCAGAACTACGAAGGTCGAAAGGACGATATACAGAAGCCGAGACGCGTAACACAATACCGAGAACAAAAAAGGGATCATAACAAGCAGACTGACAGCTATAGTACTACGATAGAGAGAGCGTTCGAGATAGAGAGGAACATATACTCATACGGTATCATTGAGGCTGCCGTGTCGAGCCGAGCGATGGTGTGGCTCTGCCACCGGCACCGACAGAGCTGACCGTGCTCGAGCGATAACGGAACATGTCGTGCAGGCGCTTCATCTTCTCTTGACGCTCGTCGCTCGTCAGGCCTGCGCCGTGACCATGGTCAGAGCCGTTGGTGAAGGTACTGCTCATGGGCGAGCGCGGCACGTCCCCTCCAGAGTCGAAGCGTGAGCGTGCGGGTGATTGAGGTGTGGGTGACTGCGGCGCGCTCTGAGCGATAGACGCCGCGGACTTGGATTCAAGCTCTGCAGGCCATAGTCAGCATGTGCAATCAAAGAAGTAGGAACATCACGACGTACTTGACAAGGTATCCGCAACAGCCGCGTTCCGCTCCTCATCCTCCGCAGCTCTACTAGCCAACGCTCGATTGATGTACTTCTGGAACGCCGTCCCCGTAGCCTGAAGCAGCGCGTCGACCTTCGCGCGCTTATGCGGGTACTGCTTCAAGAAGTGGTGCAGCTCCGTGATACCCTCCTTGTGCATCGCGCCCGTCGACTGGCTGGAGATATGGCCGAAGATCTCGTTCAGTTGCGCGTCGGGATCGGGCTCCTCGGCTGCGTAGCCGCCGTTCGCGGAGACGACGCTCTGAGTGCGCCGTGACGGTGATGCGGACGAGCGGCGTGCATCATGCTCGGCGGAGACAACGGAAGCGCTCTCGGTGACAGGGGTGTCGGCACGGCTGGTAGCGGGAGGAGATGCAGCGCGAAGACCGATGCCCTCGGAGCGCTGGCGATTGTGGCGTGCGAAGCCGTTGCCATTCGCGGCACCGCCG